TTTAAGCGACAACTAAAAAAAGTTATAATATTATATAATACAATAAGTTTCTTCTTCAAACAGTGAACTGTTTTATTTTATAACTCAAAACATTTTAAATATGAGCTCCTTCTATTTTCAGTGTGTCACACTCCTCCATCGTCCTTTCAGTGTCACACGCACACACACAGCGCCACAGGAAAATCCACAGCGAGTACAGCAGACTTAATATCTAAAGCAATTTACAGTTATGAAAATAAGAGACATATCCGCAAAACGACAAGCACAGTGCGCCACCGCAGAAACAACAACAACAAGAAGGACGAGGAATAACAACAATAAGGATCCGGGCAAAGGACGAAGGACGAAGGAGGGGGAGAAACTTCTGCTAACGAAGTAAGTACCCTGGAGGACACTTAAGCGTGCGATCCCCGGCCCAACTGGCGTCGAGCGTCATAATGTCGCCAACATTTTCCGAAATTACACACAAATGACAAAATAAAAGGTGCAAAAAGTCTGCAAAAGGACGAAAGCGCAGGGGAAGTGGCCACGCACACTTGCACACAACGCGCGCTCTTTCTCCCTCTCTCTCTCTCTCGTTCGTTGAGTGAGTTCCGTTTGGCGGCCATGTTGAAAACATTTGAGTGCTGAGTGATTTCACTCATTGGCTGCAGAATTGAAGGCGTGGCCTGCGATGGATTCTCGGGAGCGGGAGAGCTGCTTCTCTTTCATAGCGCAGGCGCAGTGAGCGGGTGAACCATAGAGAGAGCGAGAGAAAGGGCAGTCTGGGTGTCCCGGTGGATGGGAGTGGGTGGCAGCGCTAAGTTGCGGCTGGCGAAATGAGGGTTAAATCGCGTGCATAATTTAGCAGTTCATTTCATTCATTTGAGTGCAAGTGCTCCGAGATGTGCGCTGCTGCCTAAATGCCTTTCCGCTGCTCCAGCTTCCGTTTCCGTTTCCGCTCTGGCTCTCTTTACGCTAGTGTTTGTGTGTAGGTGCGGGTGAGCGCTGGCGCAGTATCTACCAACGTTTACCGCTACAATGACAAGCATTTATGGCAATTAACACTTTAGCTGTTTATATGCTGATGCCGCTGTTGTGGACACTTAATCGTGTCGGCCATTAGAGGCGGTGGATCCTCCCAAAAAATTCCATTCATGCAAATCACGTTTTCCTGGCGTTTTCCACTTCCTGTTCTAGCAGCCCATTTCCGTTTCCGCCTTTGCGTTTAGTGCAAATTCAATATCGTGCATAATTAATTTGCAATTAGCACGTTTCTGTTTTTGTTTTCATTCCGTTAGCCCCTCTGAAATGGAAATTTTCTAATTACGTGCACAAGCTGAATGCAAACTAGTTTCCCGCCTTCCCCAGCCGCTTTTCATCCGGCCGATTGCCCGCCGGCATTTCGAGCGACTGCCCACGTGCGTCCACGGTCTAGAGTCCATCGGTCTATCGGTCCATCGTCCATTGCCGATTTTCATGGCCTGCGACGATGGCCTGCGAAATGGGTTGGCATATGAAATGAGCTGCAAATTGATGGAGGAATTAGCGCAGCATATTTAATTCGTACTCGCAGAAACAACAACCACGGTCCAACCATTGGTCCTTGTTTGCCCAGCGGGTGCGGCGGCCAGTGAATGATGGGCTAATGGGCTTTTAGGTGCACATTTTTAATGCAGATTAGGCACACATTCGATTAGCCGATAGCGAAGGAAAAACACAGTTTAAGCCGAGATGATGCGATCAATAATTCCTTTAAAGCGTATTGTGATTGAGAGGGAATTTAACTTGCTGTTTTATAAGACTCTTTAAATATTTAAATCGTTTTTGCGAGTTTAAAGTTAAGGACAATTTTTAAATGTAATTCTTGTCCATAATTTAAGTCTTTAAATTGTTAACATACCGTTAAATGACCTTATAATGTAAGTAACGTTTTCTTATTTAACCGTTTGTTTAAACAGTTTTGAAAATATTCCAAACCAATTAACTAGCTTGGCTTAGTTTACTGTAATGATTGAACCGTTAATGCAGTCTTTCTTTTTTATATAATACAGTCGAATCCCGATAATTCGTACCCCGCTAAATCGAAAATCGCTATAATTCGTAAAAAATTCTGTTCCCTTGAAAAAAAATCCCTTGAAAAAAATCTCGATAAATCGAATTCCCGTCTAATTCGTAAAAAAAAGTGATCCCCTTGCCATTTCGAATTATCGAGACTCGACTGTACGTGTTTAGTTTGACAAGACAACCACACAAAGTTTAAGATCCTACAAAAAATGGTAATATAACATAAAATCATTTGGTCTTAAAGCTTGTATTCGTTATTTCACAACCACTTGGCGTGCATCAAAAGTCGCTCATAGTTAACTAACTTGATAAAATTTTAAGTAGAAGTTTGCAACTCAATATCTCTCATTAATTAAAAGTGCAATCAATTCCTCTCAAATTGCCATGTCATAAAATCAGCAAATGAATAATTTAAATTCAACCCAATGATATATTGTGTTATATAGTTATTTGAAAATTAGATAAATTTAGGCAGTTCAGCAGCTGTTGCCCCGCCCCCTTTCGTCCAGCCAGGCAGCTTACTCCAGCTGGCTGACTAATTTATGTATTAACTTTGAACGCTCATTAGTTTAATTAGTCAAACAAATTAACGTGGGGCTTACGGCAAGTGGAGTGCAAACAACAAAATGGCCGAATAAACAGAGCGAGCGAGGAAACTGCGGGGAGCGGAGTGTGCAGAGCTCAATGGAGGCCATCTCCCTCGCACTTCATTAAATATACAAATACAAGGGATATGGTTTAGGGCAGCGGCAAATTAAGGGGAACCCTATAAATAATTGGCAATAATTTAATTATCGCATAATTATGCAGATGACCGCGCACTTGTGCTTTTAATTGCCTTTTGTCGCGAGGTCAGCGGCTCATATTATCAGATTATCGATTTTCCCCTCCCTTCCCCCCGCCGATTCGTGCACTTTTTATTTGCCTTTTAATTAGTTGTAAATCTTGCACAGCCTGTTGAAAGCCATCGGGAAAAGCGAAGAGCGAAGGGCGGGAAAACTGCCGCCATTGCATGCACTATTTATTTTAACAAGAGCTGCTCATTTAATACTTATTTTCACTAATTAAATGGAAGAGTAAGTACATCGAAGAGTGAGTGAGAGAGGGAGAGTGAGAGATAGAGAGAGCAGGTCGCATGCGACAGCAAGAGCAAGAGCAATTTTCCGCTTTTCCGCAGCGCAAAAAGTTTGATGTCTATGTAAACAGCGGCTTTCGTGTGTGCGTCTGGCGAACTGCCAATTTTCCCGGCCCACTCACACACCCACACAAGGCTGTATATGTATGTGTGCACATACTCACGTATTCCGTATACATCGGCTGTTTGAGCGCACTTAAATAATGAATAATGACGAGACAAGCAATTAAAATAATTTGCGGTTTTACCGTGCGTATGCGCATCATTTAATTTTGCATGTAAAAGAGTTAAGCACTTATTACACAGCGAGAAACGGTCTCGAACCGACAGGATACGCAGCTCGCAAGGATGGGCAATCGGGTGGGATAATCCGCTGAGTGCTGGCTCGAGTATATGTATATATATGAAGCGGGTCCCTGCCATCAATGGGCCAATTAAAATGAGTGCCCGACGCTCTGGTGTTGGTGGCGAGCATCTTAAAACTAATTAAAACGGAAAACGGCATAACAAGCTGCTCATTAAGCATCCAAGTTGCCGTCGCCTTCGTGGTTAATTATAGAAGGGAGGGGACCGAGTCTCGTGCTAACGAGAGCCGGAATAAAGCCGCTGTATATATACCAGTGGCATTCGAGATCTGAGATCCGAGATTCAGCTAGCACCCAACTCTCCATCGTCGGAGTTCATTAAGCAGCACCCGGCGTCCACTTAACGATGTCACTTATACGCCCCATTGTCCGCTCGGACCCAAAAACCCCCCAGGACAAGTGGCCCGCTCCCGGGGAGCCACACCACCCATCCCGCCCCCTTGAAGGCCACTGCTGCGATGCGTATAAACCGCAAATTGGATGCGATATTAAATCGTCTGTGCCAAAGCGCATATAAATTTTTGTTCAATTTAAAAGAATTTTTCCGAGAGCGAGCAAGCGCAGGAGAAAAAGGGAGAGAAGTGTATCCCCAAAAAGAGAAACAGAGAGGAGGCGAGCAGAGGAGCACGGCAGCAGCAGGCTGTCCCCCTCGAACACTTTGAGTTTTACATAGGAAGTGTCAAGGAGGCAAGCCACAAAGATGATTTTCTCCTCGAAAAATAAAGAAATAAGTAAAGGCAAGAGTAAATAAGCCAACTAATTAGCAACATAATTACGGCCCCTAAAAATATCTTTTCTAAAATTCAATTAAGCTGAAGAAAGCAGAAGGCACTCATGCATAAATGACTAAGAACAAACCAGGCATGCAAAAAAACTCGTCGCACAACTGGCAAATATATTGTAGGGGAAAAATAAATAAATAAAAAATAAAAACAGCGAGGAATGTGCAAAAAGTTGAGATCCATTTCGCAAGCACCCAACCGCATAAGCAAACAAATTTTGCGCTAAATAATTTGACAATTACTCACATCCTCGCCTCCGAGGGGCAAAGGCTGTGCGGCCTTTGTTTCCCTTCGGGTGGCTATTACAGTTGAGTGAAGAACTATGTAAAACAGGACCGCCCAGGACTCGCCGCTCTCCTGCTGCTGCTGCTGCCGCTGCTCCTGCTGCTGCCCTTGTGGCTTAGACTTGCAACAGACCATTACATTTGCTAACGAGTGGAAGGCAAATTAAATCATTAGATGCTAGTACAGATTAGAGCCGCTGCGGCGGCGGGGAGGATCCGCAATCCACTCAAAGAACCACTCATCCGGGGGGGCGTGTAGAGTGTCGCACAGAGAGTCACTCAGAGCGAAAACCACCACCACCACTGCCACTGCCAGCACCACCAATACCACCAAAGGCAGTACAAGAGGCAGCAGCAGAGTGGCAGCAGTAGTGGCAGCAGAGGCAGAGGCATTTAGCAGTTGACTTGCCACAGGCACACATCTGTTGGATTAACAGCGGAGCAGTCGGGAAACAACCCTCATTACGCTTCTGGCTCTTGAGCGTGTGAGTCGTCGCGCGCGGATTACGCCCAGGATAATCGGACCTTGAACGTCGAACGTCGGACGGACGGACAGCGAAACGACTTCGCAGCGGCAGCGGCCACATCGGATATTGGCATCTCCGGATTCAGTCGATTGGCTGCCCTCAAGGTGACTGGACACGCAACGCGCAACGACAACAACAGTGAAACCAATACCCAGTGAAATACCAAGTGAAACCAGAGTGAACCAAAGACAATACTCCCGAGGACCCAACATGGTCATGCTGCAATCGCCGGCGCAAAAGGCCAGCGAGAGTGCATCATCGCAGCCCACCGCCGTCGGTGGTCTGATGAGTCCCAACTCGAATCCCGACTCGCCCAAGTCCAACACCTCGCCGGAAGTGGCTGGGAGCGGGGATTCCGTTTCCGGAGCGGGAGTTGCGACCACAGCCACTCCACCTGCGGCCAAGATTCCCAAGTTCATCATCAGTGCGAATGGATCGGCGGTGGCCGGAAAGCAGGAGCAGGAGCTTCGCTACTCGCTCGAGCGACTGAAGCAGATGACCAGCGAGTCGGGCAGCCTGCTCAGCCGCCTGAGTCCCGCACAGGAGGACTCCAGTGACAAGGACACCAAGCCGAACCACAACAACAACAGCAGTCTGACCAACCACAATGCGAATGGCAACCCGCGGCGTTCGCAATCTCCTCCAGCTGCCGCGGGATCCGTGAGCTTCTCGTCGCCAGCCCAGCAGCGGAAACTCCTGGAACTGAATGCCGTGCGCCACTTGGCCAGACCGGAGCCACTGCAGCATCCACACGCCGCGCTGTTGCAGCAGCATCCGCACCTGCTGCAAAATCCACAGTTCCTGGCCGCCGCGCAGCAGCACATGCACCACCATCAGCACCACCAGCATCATCCGCACCCACATCCGCATCCGCATCCCCATCCACATCCGCACCCGGCTGCGGTGTTCCATTTGAGAGCGCCGAGCAGCAGCACCACTGCCCCGCCCTCGCCGGCCACCTCGCCCCTCTCGCCGCCCACTTCGCCGGCCATGCATTCCGACCAGCAGATGAGTCCGCCGCTCGCTCCGCCCCAGAACCCGGCACATTCCTCGCAGCAGCAGCAGCAGCAGCAGGTTGCCCCACCACCACCGCCGGAAGTGGACCTCGAGCGGATCAAGCTGGTGGCCGCGGTGGCCGCCCGCACCACCCAGGCGCCCAGCACCTCCGCCTCCGCCTCGAACTCCGTGTCCAATGCCAGCACCTCCATCCCCAACTCCGCCTCCGGATCGCCCAGCGGGCGGGATCTCAGCGACTACGGCTTCCGAATACAGCTGGGCGGACTGGCGGCAGCGGCGGCTGCTGCGGCGGCCACCTCGCGGCAAATAGCGGCCGCCAACTACGCGAGGAGCGACACCAGCGAGGAGCTAAACGTCGACGGGAACGACGAGGACAGCAACGATGGATCCCACAGCACGCCGTCGGTAAGTCAAGAGAAAAGTTAAAAGAAGGTGATGCAGGATTCTTGACGTTCTTTTAAATTAAATTCAGGTATTTTAGGAGTTAAACTTTTGATAGATTTCTGGCATTGGAAATATAAAATAAAATAGGAGAATTCCAAAATATTCCTTTATATTGTATATACATCTTAAGTTATTGTTAACAGGTTACTAATATTAATCTTAGAAAAATCTCAAGTTTGAATATAAAGTTATGTGGGTTGCCTTCAAGTATTTATTTGATTTGTTTTTATCTAATTTAAAAATCATGCGTTCATCGTTACAATTTAAATAAGTTGTAAGGCGTTTTTTTGAAAATAAGTACTCATCAACTTTTGTATACTGATTAAGATCTGATTTTAAGTATTATTCAGAATTTATTGTTCCTTTAAAAAAATGTATTAGCATATTTTATGACGGTGTTTGTTAAGTTGAAATTTATAGAACGTGCATTTCAGCAAAACTTCAAAATCAGAATATTAAATCTAGCCCACCAGACATAAAGTAACAAACAACCTTTTTATAACTTATGTTGAACTCCTAATTAAAAATTATTGTTCCGAGTAGACCAAATTTTTGTTAGGACCTTGTAATTTTTATTATAAAAAATATTACATTATTTGTTGTGAATTTTGTGGGATAGTATCAATTTTATTTTGCTTTCAAAATATCATTACTAACTATGAACTACGAACTTTTCTACTATTACCTAACAGGTCTGTCCAGTTGACCTGACGCGATCGGTGAACAGCAATGCCCCGGCGAACTCAAGTTCCGCCTCGACGAGTGCCTCCAGTGAGCGGGATGCGGCCACCAAGCGACTGGCGTTCTCGGTGGAGAACATCCTGGATCCGAACAAGTTCACGGGCAACAAGCTGCCAGCCGGTCCCTTCGGCCATCCACGGCAGTGGAGCTTCGAGCGGGACGAGGAGATGCAGGAGCGCCTGGACGACGATCAGAGCGAGGATATGTCTGGTGAGTGGAATTATTCCTTTCTCAACTGATTTGGACCCCACACCCGGTGAATCGGAAATCACTTTGATGGTTAGCTGTCTGATTTGATTGAAGCAATGGAAATTCAGGGCACGCCAGCTAAACACGTTCCCCCGAGTGTCTGTGTGCAACGCTCCGTGCTCGAATACACAGCCAATAAAAGGGGGAGGCGGTGGGCGGAACACCTGCAAACAGTTGCCATCTCATCCTCATTCGATTCTTTTTGCCCTGCCAGAATGCCAGTGGGTGGTGGTGGGCGGCACATGTTATATTTATACTGCTGCTTGTATCGTTTTTAGGTATGTTTTGATTCCGAATTTGCTTTTTTGTTTTGCCAGCCGCACCCCTCAAAAGCTGGGAATCTGCCATTTTGAGGGCCTGGGATTTTTTCGTTGCCTGCTTTCTGGCGCAAGTCACGTAGGAATGAGTGTGTGTGTGTGTTGGTGTGTGTGCGGGTGTTTCGTTGGGTGGTGTGTTTATGTTGGCCATGAAAGCATTTATATTTTGCGTATAGTCAATGGCAAACAAATGCGCAAATGCCAAAGCAACCAAAAAAGGATCTCCGAATTGTGAGGCCGGCACTCTTCGCTTTCGGAACGCAAACTTGTTTAGACCAAAAAGCTGCACTCATATCCAATAAGGATTTTCAATAGAATTGCTTTTAATTGATTGATTGATGTTTTAATTGGGGAAAAGCCATTGCCAGCTGCGAGCTACACTTCCGTTTTTCACTCTCTTCTCTTTTTTTTGTTTTTTCTTCGGACTGTTTGTCTTGCTGCGGATCAGGTTTCGGTTTTCCAATGATTTTTTCGATGCCTTTGCTGCCTTTTTCCTTTTCGGTGGCTGGCTAAAATTTTGCTGAAAATTAATTGATTTTCATGCTTGGCTCGCTGCAAAGAAATTGCTCAAATAAAAATTTGCAAATTTGATTGAAGTTGTTGTGGGAGGGGCATGGCGGTCCATCGCTAAGCCGCTGGCCAAAGCGCCAAAAACAGGAAAAAGAAGCCAACGCTATTGGATTTGGGGCTGATGGAGCTTAAGTTCAAGTTCGGTGCGGTTTGTTTGGACACTGCTCATGATCTGATTATGAAACGAGTTGACTTAATTGGCAAATGGGTTTGGTCCGAAAAGGCACAAACGTAAAATCGATTTGAGTTGATGGAAATCAAATCAAATGGGACTGAGAAGTAGCTGTATCACTCGCCTGTTAAGCCGACTTCCAATTGTGGGTTCATATAAACATTATAAAGCAAACAACAGCAAAAAAAACTGTACTCAAAAAAAACTAAAATTCCATAAATTGGAATTAAAAAGACTTGGAAAAAGTCTATAATTGTTTTTAAAGGTATTTGAACGAAATTCGAAGTCATTTTGATAAATAAAATCCTTTTTGGTATGGGTAAATACTTTGAAATAAAAGACAAAATAATTTCAAAATTTGTTGCCAGTTTTATAAAGTTCCATTATGCAACTCCCGTCAGTACTCCGATCGGTTTCATTAGCCCATTCTCTGTGATCCCTTTGAAGCTTTCGTGTTTGTGTTTATCCAAGAATCAGTGGTTAATTTATATTGCCAATTAATTAACCTGCTTTAAACATCCCCGCCTTCATTACTTTTATGGACCAGTTCGTTAAGCACTCATGTAGGAAATTATAGACACGCAGAATGGCATTCCTCGGCAACACATATCCACATCCACATCCACATCAACATCATTATCAACGACACATTATCGGCCATTGCTGGTTGTCGGTTGTCGGCTTCGCTGTTTGTGCATTTGTGTTTGTGTTAATAAAACACAATTAACTTCATCAATGGCCGGCGAGGGCTGCGAACATAATTGCTAATAAAACCGACTCAATGGCCGCGCCAACGACCCCATCGAAATTGGGGGTTGGGCGGTGGAGTCGAGCGGTGGCAAACAGTGGAAATGGAGGCCAGACACTCAGACGGGGAAACTTCGCCACGGTAATGATGATGGAAATAATTATGTTGCCAGCAGTTTACAGCAACCCCTAGGCCGGATACACACACATACAAGCGCACACTAGTACACACAGAGCGAGAAAGACATATAGACAGACAGGCGAGTGCGAGTGTGTGTGCATCACGCATACGCACTGTTTGCCGGCTGGCATTCAACGATTGTTGGTTGGTGTTGCTGTAGTCATTAATTAGCAAGGTACTTAATTACCGCACATTCATTAGGCGCTTCAATGGCGCTGTCACACACACACATAAACACAGGCACACACACTCAGCCAGCCTGGAATACAAACCCCTCCCCTCTCTCCATCATCAAACTTTATGGCCTTTTGGGAGGAGGTGTTAATGCCGTCGCTTCGGTTTAGATTAGCGTAATTATGCGGTCCTTTGTCATTGCGACTAATTAGATTTTATGTCACCAGCACACTCCTTTCTTGACAGCTGCAGCTGGTAAATAATTTATAAATATTACGCATACGCAGGGATGGCTGGCTGGGTGCAATTCTCGAAGGCGCCATCCATTGCGTTTTAGGCGCAGCAATTTGCATTTCATTTAAATTGCAAAACATAAAACTAACAACACAAGCTAGGCGCATTTGCAACAATAAAGCCACATATTGTCTGCATAATCCAGATAGCCAGGAAAGCAAACGAAATGCGCCCCAAAAGTCATATGAAAAAACAAGCGATAACCGAGTTGAAGGGGAGTGCAAGTGGAGTGAGGGGGTAGGGGGAGGGGCAATCCGGGGGTTGCCAACATTTAAATGTGGGCGGAACGGAACGGAGGATGGAGCTCAAACATTCGGGCAAAACCAACCCCCGAAACAAAAATGTAAAATGGCTGCGAAAAACTTTTATTCTTTTTCAGCACTCAATTTGGCTCACTCTCTCGTTCGTGTGTTTCTCTGCTCTGTGTGAGTGCTTGTGTGTGTATGGGTGAGCGGACTCGGGGGAGTCCTCCGACTATGTATATATGTGTGTGTGTATAAGGACGAGCTCCATTTCACCTCCTTGCAGTCGCTGTAAAGTCAAGTTAAGCGACAATTTTCCAGGGCCCGAGAGCTCGGCTCGTTTTTACGAGTATATCCGTCCATCAGCAACTCATTTATTATTTTATGAAAATGGCAAAATGAGACGACAAATGCTCCCCGGGGTCGCATTGGCCGGGCGGATGCGATTACAATGATTGCCCCGGCACAAAGAACTTCAAATTTATAAGCCATTTCGGGGCACTCCCTGTGTGTGTGGGCTAAATTATGCGCCAGTTTGCGGTAATTAACACTCGGATTTCATAATTAAGTTTAAATTGTATGTTGTAATTTCAGCTTTCCTCTGCCTCCTTTATTCCTCTTCGGCAGTTTCTCCGTGTGTTTGCCAGCCTCTCGCTTTTCAGTCCTTTGCCTCTGCCATATCATCAAAATTGCTTATGAAGTGCTTTCGCCGTAATTATAATTAACAGCAGCCATTTTGTTAATGGCAGGAGCCAGACAGATAAGAATTGTGGAATGAATTTGGCTTCTAATGGAGATCAAGTCGGAGCCATTAAAACATACGGCTGTTTTTAGTTGGGCATTAGCTTAACGAAAAAACTGAATGAGCTGAAAGTACATAAAATACTTTCTTGCTTCATACAAATAGTAACTGAAACAATGAAATGTTCTTACATTGTACAGACGTAATATGAGTTTTGGCTTGCAATATCCTTAATTAAATGTTTTTAAATGAGTATATTCAACTGTAAAAAAACAAATATAATATATTTTTCATCACGCTTGAGGTAGATAAGAGGTTAAATTCCTTCCACATGCATTCCAGATTACTCTACGCAAATACGCATAATCCTTTCAGTTTAATTAAACGTTACTCACAGTCGGCACAAACATTGATCTTAAACCGACGGGTTTTCCTCGTTCCCCTTATGCCAGACATCACGCATACGCCATGTTGCAGCTCTCAGTTGAATGGTCAGCGTAATTAGGCACCCGCTCTCGCCCTGCGAATTTGTGGTTGCAACGCTTATTAGCCAGGTCGGGTTTTCCACCTCCCTTACTGATTTGCCCGACTGCCCTTTGAACTTTCCGCGTTTGTTTGCGAGCGCATTAAGCGTCTGTCTGTCTGCCAGTCTGTCTGTCTGTCTGCCAATTTCCCCCGTTGGTTTTTGGGGGCTGTTAATTCAATTGACTCAAACCAATTGTGGTCAGGGCCAGTCGTCGACTCGGCTCGAATCGGTTAGATATTGATGGGGCTGGCGGGCATCTAATGTGCCATTAATGCATATCAAAGTGCCTGCAAACACTCCACAGCCCATTAACAGCGATAATGGCGGTGGCCACTCTGCGTCGCTCGCCAAATTCGTTAAATATTAAATGAAGCGTTCACGTTAATTTTCGGTTTAATTGCCGGCCAGTCTGCGGTGCACTTTTAGGCGCAATCGGCCCCCCTCCTCCTCCTCCTCCTCCGCACTCTTCCCTCGCCAGTCGCCCCTTCTAATTTCATGCAAACACGGCCAATCATGTTGGCCAATTACCAGGACCAACGCGAGCATCCTTGACGGAGGGTTGACACTTTGGCCGACCCTTTTTCGCCTGGCTGAATCGATTCCGCAGCTTTGAAAGGGGTTCTCCACCGCAAAATTGCTTTTCGCCCGCAGAGAAAATTTGTTAACAAGCCAAGTTTTTAACGGCTTACAAATTTTTGGCAAAGGCCTTCGTCTAACGATTGCATAATGCGAAGCAGCCATAGTGGGAAAATCTCCGTAATTGGTAACTGATATTTCCCCGGAATACACATCCACGGACACTGTTGGCCAGTTGTCGAGCTGCCTTAATTGAATTTTGATTGTCCAATCATGGCCATCCGTCCACTGCTCCCGCCCACTTGGAAAATTCCGGCCTGGTCATCCGGCAGTCACATGTGCGCCAACATGTGCCGAAAAATTCCAATTAATCCAACAATGATGCGGTGGCCGAGGTGATTGATTTCCGTCTGCCAATCCTCCGGGACATGGCCATTTGTCTGTGATGGATGGCCCCGACCCTGTTGACTTATGCAAAAAGAAGCACAGACAGAATTTATCAAGTGCTATCTTCTCTTTTTCCTTGCAGCCCAGGATCTGAACGACATGGATCAGGACGACATGTGCGACGATGGCAGTGATATCGACGATCCCAGCAGTGAAACAGACTCCAAAAAGGGGGGAAGTCGGAATGGAGATGGCAAATCCGGCGGAGGTGGCGGAGGAGGTGGTTCCAAGCCAAGGAGAGCCCGCACCGCCTTCACCTACGAGCAGTTGGTTTCCCTGGAGAACAAGTTCAAGACCACCCGCTATCTGAGCGTCTGCGAGCGACTGAACTTGGCCCTCAGTTTGAGTCTCACGGAGACACAGGTGAGAATTGTTTCTTACATAAAATTTATTTTATTTTTATTCGAGTTGAAAATTAATGAAGCTATAACAAAAATACAATAAACATATAATCCTTCACCAAAATATATTTTTGTGACCAATATCAAAATGTTATCTTCGCTTGAAAATAAATATCGAAATACATTACAGTATACTTACAATTTTGTTATACTATATAGTAAATACTTTATTCTAGTAATATTTTCTTTCATTTATCCAAGGTAGAATTAACACAGTTAAGAATATATTTTGGAAAGGAGAATCTATTAGACACTTTTAAAATAATACTGTAATTGAAAAAAAAGGATTATATTTTTCAAACTTAGACAAGCCCCTTTTCTAGAATGACTTTATTGTGAAGTTTAGTTGAACCTAATTTAACAACCTGGTTTCTTCTTAATTTCCAGGTTAAAATCTGGTTCCAGAACCGCCGCACCAAGTGGAAGAAGCAGAACCCCGGCATGGACGTGAACTCGCCGACGATCCCGCCGCCTGGAGGCGGCTCCTTCGGACCGGGGGCGTACGCCAGCGGACTGCTGTACTCGCACGCGGTGCCCTACCCGCCCTACGGACCCTACTTCCACCCCCTGGGCGCCCACCACCTCAGCCACTCGCACTCATAAAATTGCAAGATGCAACAGCGATTGTTGCAACTGTTCGAAAAGCGAGGCAGGACCGAGGGGGGAGGGGCAGGAGCAGGTCCTGCGGCAGGAAGTGGATCAATGGCCCCCAAGGATAAAGTGTAAATGTGAAACTGCTTTAAGTGTGTGTGTTTAGTATTCGGTCAGAGATTTCCTTTGTTACTCACTTCGATTACCAGCTGTACATAGTTCTTGTATAAATATGCTATGCTAGTGCTTAGAACCTCGAATGCCATATCTAGAATTAAATTATACATTTACCTGTAGCGTTTAAGTGCAAGCAAAATCAAAAAGAGCAAACCAAAAATTGCATAAATGTCAAGTGGAAAATAAACATTTTAAAAACTACCCAAAGTGTATGCTACGTGCGTATATATTTTCCCCTATATTGGATCGTTATTTGGGGGTGCGAGAGCCGTAAAAAAGCGATGTGTCGTGTGAAATGGCAGGACAACAATGCTAAGTCAAGTGTAAAATTTTAAATTTGCTTCTCATTTGCCATCAGGGGCTCAGGCACTCACACCCGGCCACTCAATTATGTGGCAAACGGATGCGAATACGAAATTTCTTAATCCGCTTTGGGTGACACAATGCTCCTGCCTTCCGACGGCTGTCTGCCGGCTATATCTTCCTGTTCCGGTGAAGTCGGGCGGCCGAGGGGGTAAATGGGAGAGGTGAATGGGAGAGGTTGTCAAAACAGTGACAAGCAAATGAATAAATTCACGCGCACACACCTCCGGCCCATTGATATTATAATCGCCTCAGCGAGTGTGTGTTTGGGTGTGTGTTTGGGTGTTGGTTTGTGTGTGTTTGGGCCAAGATGCGTATAATTGAAACAGAAATCGAGAAATCCACGCATGACCGGTCATTTGGACCCGATGCGGATGAGGATGCGGATTGACTGCGCCTGCCGCTGACAGCGTTGCCCGAAAGCAAACAGGCGAGTGGATCCGGGAAAATCCCTTTATATCTATTACGGGCGAACTCACTTCGATTTTTGTTTTTTGTGCGGGTGCATGCGCAATTATTTCGCTTTTTTACCAACGAATTTCCTTCGCTTTCGCTTAAATAATTTATTAACAATTTTTGCTTTTACATTTGTTCAGAGCTTTGCTTAAGTACTTTGCAATTAGTCGCACAAATCCTGTTTGCACCGCACACCCACACATGCATACATGCAAGGACGACCGTGTGTCGGTGTGCGTTAATTTCTGTAAATGTAAGTCGCTAAATTATTCAGCTGCAGACATGTGAGCAAATTCAAACAGCAGAGAAGCGAGCGAGCGAGCGAGATGGCGAATGGAGGGGAGGAGCTTGTTTAATTTGCATAAAATTAAATGCTAATTTTAGTTGCACACACTTCGCCCCAAAAACTTTTGACGAGGAAAGAAGGAGCGAGCGGCGAATCAGGGGTCAAAATTGAGTATGTATTAGCACTCTCCTGGGTTTTCAAAAATCACAATCCAATCTGCTTGCCATAATTCACAATATTCTCGAATATCCCTGTGGGCTATAAATCCATAAATCCATTAAATCCATTAATTGGCAACCCACGAATAGAGTGGAAAATAATACAGTGCCAATACACATTTATAAAGTTTTAAATACATCTTATGATATTTTGGGTATATGTACATATATAAAAGGGTTAAAATAAAAATGTAACTTTTAAAAAACATAGAACGCTAAGGTTTTGCAATAAAAAAAATTGAAGACTATATAACATTTGAACTTTATTTTTAGCTCCCCAGCATGTTAACTTTTAAAAATTAATTTACGTTTTTTTTTCTTAGCGTATCCTTACAATTATTGTGATTTTAAAATGATATCCTAGATTTTTGTAGAAAACATCCAAACCAATACTCAACCTTTGGACAAACTTCTTCGTGGGAAACACAAATCACTTTAAGAGGAGCTTCCTAAGCCCTGCTGCGATTTGAAATTTATACTTTTGGGGGTGTAAATTAGGCCTGGCAAGAACGCCTCGCAAATCAGTGAGACGATAAATTAACGCGGCGTCGGCCGGCGTTAAGCTACCCTTAACGAGGCCCAAACGGCTCGACGCAAAGCCAAGACAATTGCTTTCCAATCCGGCGTGTCACAGCCACCGGAAGGAACTTGGGGAACTTTCGGTGTCACTCTCCGAAGATTTTCCGCAGAATCAAAACGCGACACTCACACAATTAAGTCGTTCTCCCCGCCCACCCATTTTCCATTAATCCGAGCTGGGATTCCACGAATTTGAATTCGATTTCGAGGCCTGTTTTGCAGGCCGAGCTGAGAGTTGAGTTCGGTTTTTTGTAAACGCTCTTCAGAAGGGCCTTCTTACGCGCCTGAATTGCTCCAGATTACGCATACATCACATCCTCTTCCCGGGAAGTGTGTACTATGTGTGCCGGGTCGCGATGGTGTGAGCGGCATTTAATCTGCACCATTGACTTCTCTTTGCGGAGAAACCATCCCCTCGACTCGACTGGTCGGGTGCTAGTAAATTTGATGCGAATATTTAGTTTGTCTTCTTTATCGGCGCGGCTTTATCGAAACTTATTGTGTTTGTTTAATTGAATTTGGATTGCTGCGACAATTTCGCGTCTGAGTGCGCTCCAAAAACTCTGCCGAAGCGCAGATAAATAAGGATCCCCGGGAACAACTACTCCTCCGCCACCAAGTTGGCTGTCTAATTGGGAGTGGTAGATAAAGTTGCGACTTAGTTTAGTTCATTTGGTGCGCTATTTGCCGGCGCATCCATCTGTTTCTCTGTCTGCAATTAAAATTTAATAAGTACGCCACGCCCCCTAGACACTCCCCCTCCCCCATATGTATATGTATACATATGCGGGCTCATATAAATTATGGCCTGAAGTTGACATAAACAAGCTCCCAAGAGTCCTTTTGCCGAAGTTATATGACAGATTTGCGCAGAGCGTTTTGATGAAGAGTCAGGAGGGGGGCGGTGGGAGTGCTCCTGCTGCAAGGACGAAGTCCCGGAAACGCTAAAGTGTCACCAGGGAGCGGACGGTTGGGTGGTTCAATGTTTTTGGGCGGTTGGCAGGCACATGTGTCTTGAGTCACAAACGCCACGGGGTGGGTTCCGCTCGGTCCTTTGTTGTTTTCCAGCCGAATCACATTTTGATGATTGTCAATGTGACTTTAATGCCATTTTTCAACTTCATGGCCCCCTCCCCCTTTCCCCTCCCCCTCTGAAAACTCCATCACCCGTGGCACGTGCAAAAGGGCTGTCCCAGAGACACTGATCGTAATGCTGACATCTGTGGATTAAATTGCAATTTGTGCTCATGTAATATTGAAGCCGGGCTCTCTAACTGAAAGTGTAACGCTCGCGCTTCCTCGCATTGTTTGCGCGAACTTAACTGGTTAACTGGTTCGGTTTGTGTTCTCCTTTTTGCCGGGCTATTAATATTTGAAATTGCGCATGGGCAATAAAATTGTAAAAGTCGCCTTTCGCCTTTGTGCTGCAAATAATATTTGATGTTATTATGGTCGATTAGGGGAGAGAGATACGAATGGCGTGGCATGATGAGCAAATGTGTCACTTGTGGCATGGCCTGAAAAGCCATTTTAAAGGCAGAACGGAGATACAAATTTTATTTTTGTCCCCATAAAATGGTTGTATACAAATGCATTTTAATGGAATGTTTTTACAGTCATATTAATTGGATACTCTTTTTGGATACTCTTTTTTTACAGATGTTGATTGGGTATGAATTATGCTTTATCTTTACATCTTGATCAGCTGGTTGTCATGTAAAAATAAAATTCAAAATGTCAGTTCAAAATAATGATTTGGGTAAGTACGCTTTGCAGGCTTTAGATCTTATAATTTTATATATAACCAATCATTTATTGTAAGGAAGAAATTAACGAGGTACCAAGTTCTTGCTTTTATATATAAAGTGGTAACAGTCCAATTAAGAGTTTTAAAAATATGTTTCAAATATAAGTTCCCATATCAGCAAGCGGATTCGTTTAAAAATGTATATTTCCCAAATAAAGTCCATGTGCTCAGATAATCTCTTTATGAAAAAACTAAGCTTCAAAAAATAAAATACAAAAAAGTATTTCAAAATTTAAGGTTGGTATAGGTTGCTATGATTCTTTTCTTATTCTCATTAACCATCAATAAAGAATAAATCATTCAAAAATTCCATTCTATTGGCAATACATGTTTAAAATCAACCCTTACGTAATAAACTCTATTACTAACACAATACTAATGATCTGAATTGTAATCCGTTCCACAAAAGAAGGCCAAAAAGGTATGTTTGGAACTTATAATTTCTAATTTTCTATGAATAGGATCAAATACCGATTCCCACATTCCCGGTGGCCAACTGAGTGGCCAATTGGTTAGCGTTTAGGCATCGCACGCGCCGCCAATTCATCATCATCCCGATCAGGCTCACCTGTCAGACGGGGATTGCGATGTTCCACTCTGAAGGGCATCGCAAATCCGGCGAAATTGAACGTGCGTCCCGCTCGTCTGCCCGAATAATTCGCAGTTAATTTCCCGGCAAGCGTGGCGAAATGAGGCACAAAGCCCGGCAACTCGGTACGCAACTCTGGGCCCTTTTTGGCCGATTTTATTTGGTGAGAAAACATTTACGCACTAATTTCTGGGCATTGACTGCGCCACTGGTCCTTCCCCCGCCCCCTTCCCCCTGCCCCTTCGTCCTGCCGCCTCCTTTCCCATTAGGCCTGCCACCAAACCAGTTGCATGCCAATTGGTTTGCAATTTGCCGCGCTTAGCAGGGGGTGGGGAGTGGGTGGTGTCAGGGAAGGGGGAGGTGGTTGGGCGGTTGGGCGGTAGCCTTGGCGGGTTGGCCGCAAATAGCGCACGCGTAGCTGGACGGCGCGTGGCTCAATTACGCGGTTAAATGCATTCAAATTGAGTTGTTTATACTGCGGGCGTGTGCTGGGTCAACTGGGGATCGTTCCTCTCAGAAACAAAAATCAGTATTGCCTAGTTGGCTTTTTCTAGCCGAAATCGGCTATTACCAGAGGTCGAACGCATTCAGTTTTAATTTTACAGGTGTAGTCTAGCTATACTTCAAAAAATTCCTAATGTATTCTATGTTGATTCCTGGTGATGGGTGCTTAGCAGATTTATATTTACTCCACATATCCGTTTGTCAATTTTTTCATAAATTTTTAGCGTATTTAGTACAACAAACCTATTGTCTTGGAACCTTACAATTAATTCAAAATTTTAAAAGACTTTCAAAACATTTTACGAAATATTTAAATTAAACTCACATGTTATGAACTTCTTCTTCATATTACGATCAAGGAGAGTCAAAGAAAATAATTGAAGTATTTTTA